AAGAATCTCTGGATCCTGTTTTGTTTTGATTTATTTTTCACAGAACGCCACAACTGAGGTCCTCTGTGCCTTCCCCAAACCATCAGCTCCTTGACAAACAGCCCACTCACTATTCCCCCCCTTCCACCACCACCCCACCCCCCCATCTCTCCCAAGGCACCACAGAGCTCAACCGACACTGGCAGATCACATTCCAGCTCATGGATCACTTTCTGGCAAGCAGACACCACCTCCCTCTCCTCAAAGTCCCTTGATACAAAGGACAAAGCAACGCCTGTACCAGCATCACCAATCCATGCTGCTTGACCGATCGACATCATCCCAGGCAGAGAAGTACCACAGTTTCTACTGGAAGGGAGCAGGAGCAGTTCCCAGCAGCAGAATGCCCTGCTTTGTCCTGAAACGGAGCGCAAGCCTCTCACCCTTTGCCACGTTCCCACCCGCCTTCCCAGCTCCCAACCTTCAGCCCTTTCAACACCCACAGTTTTTCCACTCTGCTGCAAAGCAATGAGAAATTCCCTGCCAGAGGACATTGTTCAAATGGTTTACTGAAAAGAAATGCAATTCCCTACTCCGGGCAAACAAGCTCCTTCTTTTCCCCCTGAGGAAGAAGGATAATAGCACAGCCAGGGAAAAAAAACTATCCCCAAAGCCTGCTGTAATAATATTAAATAAGAAACCAAATGGGTTTGGCTAGGAAAATCCCAAGTTCAAAAGAATAATTGCTCCAAGAGAGTTAAGCCTACAGCTGAGTCACTAAAATGAAGAAACCTCTCCTTGACCATAGAAAGCAAACAAATCTTAGGTCATGCAGCAAAGCTTCTGTATGTCCTTGTTAGAAAGAAGCCAAATGCAATTAATCATAGTCCCAGAAGAAAGGATGAAATCTTTGTAATTAGCTACCTAGGCTCATCTTTCTACTTTTGAAGACTAATCCAACCTTCTTCTTTCACCCTTCACCCACAGCGCTGACACAAAAGTCTAATACAAGTACCAAATCACTTCTCTCCAGGGGTGCACACTCACCTGCAGCCTGTGGTCCCCTAACAGCTTTGCAATAAGTGTTCAGGGAAGGGGGAAACATTTGCAGAGAGCAAACACAGCTCCTTTTCTTCATGATCTTTTGTGGATGAGCTGTCATAGAGTTTGCAGAGTCTCCAAGAATCTGGAGACCTTGGCTGAAGTACAAGAGTTGTTTTCAAGCTAGGTATTTTATATCCACAATCCCGATCCAGCTGATCAATGACCACAAAACACCAATTGAAAAAAAAAAAAAGGCATACAAACATGAAAACGCTTTCCAAGTGGTTAAGATGACAACAGCTTGTGTTAATAAATTGGCTTATACCTCATCCTCAGGTGGTAAAGATTTGCCTGACCATCACCCTGCCCATAGAAAGCATGTTCTTCACAGCTGTACACACTGTTTGTACAGAGGTAAGTGGACAGGGCAAGGTCTCCAGCAATTAAATTCATTAGGGCAAAGCCAGCTGGCAAGCAGCTCCTTTAATTGCAAAAGACAAAGCTACATTCCACAGAAGAAATGTGTCTAGGTTTGACTGAAAGTCACAATTCCTTTGCTACAGCTTCATTCAAAGTTTTGGAAAACATGGGGGGAAAGTATAATACTTCAGAGAGAGGCAGAGAAAGGGCTGGAGCTGGTGGCTACAACTTAGAAGTGGAGATCATGATCTGGCATCCAAAAAATCCTATGCAAATCAGAATAAGCCATTCAACTTCCCTGGGCTCCCTTAATAAATAAGGGCTGACAAATATTATTCCAACAATGAAAACAACAGGGCAGCTCTTTAGGTCTAGTACATTGATGGTAAATACAATACAGTGGAATATGACCAAAATGACATCAGCTGAGGAACTGAGACTTATTTCTACCCCCTCTCTTGTATACAAACCACTGCTAACATATGAATAACGCTGTCAACAACAGACTGGGAACACGGGCCAGCTTTGTGGTAAGGGAGAGCAAAGAATGCAGAGTGGACAGAAATCTCCGACTTCACTCTTCCATGACAAGGCAGAAATGCTTATTTTCAAAGGAAGAAGATTGTGTCATTCTTCTGTGAAAAAAATTGAAGTGATTACGCAGCTTCAAGTACAGCTGGAGCCTTGCTGTACAAATGTAGGAAACCGGGAGGGATGATTAACAGCCAATCTGTGGGACACGGCAACAGAACCAAGCAGCCTTGGGTATGTCCATAATGCAACACCCACTCCTTTCTCTCCAGGTCAGTGCCGCAGATGCAGCCAGAGGTGCTGGGGATGCTCTGCGGGCAGTTTCATGGCACAGAGCTATCGTCACCTGCTCGCAGGGCTGAATTTCCACTTACCACCAATATCAGCCTAAACGCTAAAAATCAGTAGATTGCTCCTTCAATCTTTGCACAGAAATCTGCCAGAGGAGCTAAGCATGGTGTCAGAGCAAAGGTGGGATTTGGCTGCGGCAAAGGTGGCTACCAAGTGGCCAGGGTGGCCTCCCTGTGCTGTCCTTCAGCCTTTGATTTATAAAATCAAATCAACTCTCTGCACATCAGGGAGGTCAGAAGGGTCCTGCCAGCACGCTGGAGTTTATCCCTTGTTAATGGGAATTCCTACCATCCTTCCAGGGGGATGCACAGATCCTCATGGAGAAAACCAACTGCTGCCGGCAGCCAGACTGCCTTCCCCAGTCCTGCTACGGGACAGAAAAGCAGCCCTGACACCACTGCGATGGGATGCTCCGGCAGCCAGATATGAACTGCGAGTCGAAGCTGCCCTCCACCGGATGGAAGGGAAACAACCCCCTGTGACGGGAAAAGCAAAAGCTACGTGGTTTTTCAGCTGCAGGTCCCTCGCTTTCCCATAATTACGAGCAACATGCACTTTTCTCAGTGTTATGTTGCAGGCACAAAGACGTAAGGACCAGAAGCTTTCAAAATAAGCAGCAGCCTGGGGAGTCTGGAAGCTCCCTGTTGTCTGACAGCACCAAGCCCGGACAGCCAGACCATGTTCAAGTGTCTCTAACTAATTAAATGAAACAGGAGATTTTTTCCCATTGCTGGTTTTTCTATAAACCAGTAACTGATGCACACACTGGCAAGCAAAACCCCATAAATTTTTGCTAGATAACAATGCTACTTGAATGTTGATGTGTAAATATGGACAGATAACCAAAGATTAATCTGAGAACTGCAGTAACCTTTAGTTCCAGACAGTTAACACACATCAAATACAATCGCTGTATTTGATTATTTGTTCAATTTGTATTTGATTAAAAATAATACTTATATAAACCCCACTCAACCACCAACATCTATAAATACTTTAAAATCCTGAATTAGTTAATATTATATACATACCCAATTTTCATTTTATGCAACCGTATAACAACTACGAAATTAATCCTCCTGGCCTGCCTTGTGTCAATTGGCCAGCACAGAACAGGCACCAACCACAAAAGAATTAAGGAAAACCTTTTCAGGTTTCGAGTGAGAGGAAGAAAACTCCCAAGAGTGTCTGCAGCAATTAATTTGGCCCAACTCTGCCAGGGTACAGCAGCAAACAGTTTTCAGAGGCTACTCCCTGAGGTAGCAAGGTTAAAGTCAACTCAAGGTTAAACTCAACCTTTGCAAAGATTTGAAACGCAAAGTAGCATCACTACAGCACCTAAATGCACACAGACATACAACACGGTTCAGAGAGCAATGCATGACACCTCACATCGTAACTGAGTGTGCCCTACGCAAAATGCCCAGGTGACGTATCACCACATACCGTGTGTGCCATGTGCATAAGCACAGTGCTTATGGTGCTAGGACAAGGGTCACGAAAAAAATCAATGACATTTGACTTTAGCTGCCTGAAGTTCATGAAAATTGATTTTTTTAATGAGATAGCATCGCTGTATGGATAAGGGGAGGTGGGCCCCATGCTGATAAGGCAGCCTGAGGTCGCTGTGAGGGTGAGAGGCAGTGCCAGGCAGTGCAGGTTGACAGGGACACCTAGCTGACACTGACACCTGCCAGTGACACGGATCCCTTCCAGGACAAACCCAATTCCTGAAAACCACAGCTTCCCCTAATGATCTTTAGCCTCTATCCTAGGTTGTAGAAGAGCTGTAACGCTCACAAAGCTTGGGAAAAAAGTTATTTCCATCCTAACCTGAATCTGCAGGAGCAAGTGTCCATAATAAAAAGAAGTAGAGCAAAATAAACGCTCAAAAGTTCACAAGGTTGGTTTTTTTTTGGTTTTTTTTTTTTCTTTTTTTTTTTTTTCTCCCCCACCAGGAATCTTCCAGGAAGATTACAGCCATGTTACTTCCCTGCCTGCAAAGCTCTTTGACACAACACACCTTTGGAGCTTCCTTCACTAGTAATTAGCAGAGACAGGTAAATTCAGTAAAATCAGGCATTTCTTCCCTATTCCAGCACATAAGAGAAGGTGGCAGCCTGCTACGATGTGCCAGGCTGCGGAAAGCAAAGGGAAGCAGCACACATGTGCTTCATCTTGCTGTGACAGGGCTAGACCTTCTCACTCTTTTCCCCCGCTGTCCCAACCTTGCTTTCCCCTTTCCTAAGGTCTTGCTCTGTATTGAGCATCCCTCAAGCACACCAGTTTTCCCACGAGTTTCACACTGCTCCAGATTTCCATTTCTCAGTTGTACAACACCGTTTCCTAAAAGCAGACTATGAAGTGCGCACTGCTTTTCAGCACACTCAGCTCCAAAGAGAAGACAACCACGAGACCGACTCCATTTCTTACTTCAACTTGTTCTTAAAATTACTTTAAGTAGAGAGAAGATGAAATTTTTAATAAGGTCTCCTTAAACACAGTGTGAGTAGTTCTTTATAGCAGTACAGAAAGCAAAATTTTGAGTTCTGGTATGATCCTCTACTGCCACCAGCAGTAAGATATCATCAAAAGCTGGGGGGAAAGCAAAATACCCCTTAGCAGCTCCCTCAATGGTTCCCACAAGGCCAACACCAAACAAGTGGGCCACTCACCCGAATTTGGTGGAGAGGACACCTCCCAGTGCAGAGCCGATGATGATACCTATTCCAAAGCAAAGACCCAGCTTCCCCAAAGCATCAGCACGTTGGGACGGAGCAGTCAGGTCTGTAATAACCTTCTGAGCACCTGCAGGGAAAAAAATCCCCTGAAAGAAGCTTGCCACAGGCTCTGAGCAGCAGCCATACAAATTTTTAGGCCACAGGAACAGTGCCTGCCACAAAATGGTCCTTGCAACGCCAGGGCAAATGCTTGTGCACACTGCTGAGTGGAATTGATTCAGTCCATCAGTTGCAGGAAACAAAACCACTCAAACAAACCACTTCACAAGTGGCAAGAAGAGGCTTAATACCCTATCAACTTGAGTCCTCTTGCACAAGTTACATGAACTTCTAGTAGCTAAAGGTTGTTTACAGTTTTCACTAGAAACATCTAGGAAAGGCCAACTAAAGTAGAACAGCTTGGTGGGTAAAAGAAAGTATTTTGGTAATCCTATTATGCTCATTTTACCGGGAGAAAGGGAAAAGCTCTCCTACAAAACATCCTGGTTGCAAGAAGGCAGCTGAGAGGTTTGGGATAGCGCTGCTGCCCACAAATATTCATCACCCGCGTCTGGATGGTGAAGTCCACGCAATTTGCTCAGGATCATACAGGAGCATGGATCTGGGACTACGGGCTACTAGCCCTGTTTTCCTGCTCCTTTCTGTAAATAATACACCCACAGCTTCACATTCTCACCATTTCATCCCCAATGACCATCAAATGTTCCTCCTGCCTTCCTTCATGCTGTTGAGTCTGTTGACTTCCAGCAACGTGAGAAAAAAAGAAGAATTGGGCAATAAAAGCAATTTGGAAGGCCACTCAGCTCTGACTGATCTTACCTGGTAGCCCATGCATGAACACTCCTGGCAGCCTGGAGAGAAAGAGGAGGGGAATGCTGGTGGAGATGGACATGAGCAGGAAAAAGGCACTTCCAGACACACAGGAGAGAATTAGGGCTGCTCGGGTGCCAAATTGATCTGCAAACCTGGTACAGAAACGGTACAAGGTTGTCAGAAGTGGAACTGTGCAGGTCATTACAAGCATGATGCATCCAAGATGGATGGAATTGCACGGCCATCTCACTCTCATTTATCTGCCATGGGAAGCACTGATCAGATTATCAGAAGCGCTCAGTTCTGAAAAGATGAGTAGATATTCAGAAGAGCTCAGCTCACTGGGTCTGAGTGCCAGACAACCACTCTTCATTGCTGACTATCAGCAATACAAAAACTTTGCCTTGCAAAAAGAAAAAACAAAAAACCACCAAAACAAGCCCTCCCCTGCCCCCCCCAAAACTGGAAGCTTTGCCTGGAGGGGGAGTGCAAGGACCAGTGCTGAAGCACCAGCTGCCCACCTGGGAACACAGGCACAGACACTTTGGTGTAACAGAGGAACAGCCTAGCAACTGCCACTGCCCAGCCCATTTCCAGACCCCTCATAAACACAGGATGATACGTGCTTGCTTAAGTTTCCTCCCCTGGCATTTCAATGAATAAATGTGGTTTCTCTCAGAGCTGCTAAAGACCAGCCGCAGGCAGAGGCAGTTACAGCGGCTTAGCTCAGTAACTCATTCAATATTATCACTTCAGAGCACATAGCACCCTCAAATTTTACTTTGTGACCCAGAGTTGGTTCAGACCAGGGAATCAGGCTAGCTCATTTTTTAGTTCAGGTTCAATGGCAATTGAAGTTATACCAACTTCTTTCCAGAGGATGTTCAAAGCAACATTTCTCATTCAGTATCACTTAAAGGAAATAGAGTTTTCTATTTAGGTTCAATAAAGACTTCACAATAGTGACTCAAATTTGCTTCTATTTGAGGAAAAAAACCCAAACTAGACAGATTAGGTTTTGGTTCAGGTTTTATTCAACTCCAAGGTACTTAAAAAAGCTAAGCTGGACAAAGTAGGAGAGTACCGCAGAAAGGGTCCTGAGCAACAGGGACTAAGATGACCATAAAACAGGCCTTAGTGTTTTTCACTCCAATTCCTCCTTCCTTCATTTTATTGAAGTTGCATGTTACAGTTAGCAGATGAACGTTACTTTGCATAGCAATTAGTTGTGCTTATACCAAAAGAAATAACCCCCCTAAAAATGCCAAGACTGGCCTACAAACAAAGCTACGCATAAGTAATTAAAGGGCTTTGTGTTGAGGAAGACATACAGGTCAAAACTTCACTGTTTACGTGAAAACCAGGAAATCAGGTGTTTGTAACCTAAAGATCATGATTCACTACATAGTCCAGGGCTTTTTTTGATTTTTTTGCTAAGATTAAATTCATCTCCTCATGGCTGTTTAGGAGCATCAAGCAAGAAGAACAAGGAAAACTGACCTAAGCTACACATTTTTCTCTCTCTTATCCCCCCCCCCCCTTCACTTTCTCTTTTCAAAGCAGCCCCACATCTAAGAAACCTTTTTTATCTCAAACCTACATTGCAAATTTTGGCTTCAATCTGGCAATATAGACCTTCAGTCCCATCTACACCAGTGGGTACAGACCCAGATAGATTCTGGTTTGCCATTTTCCTTCCCTTCAGCATCTCTTCTGGATATTAGTGAATGACATGCACAGAGGAAAACCAGATTTCAGATGGCACCAGATCCTGGACAGAAGTATTACTCTAGTTTTGTATATTAATATAAAAAAGCATTCAAATTGGGCCCTTTGCAGCACCCCTGTTCTTAGGAATGCCTTTTCTTCCAAGCTGCATTGGAGAATTTATTGTTATTAATTTTAAAATGTGTATTATGGTAGTGTCCAAGAGCTTTTAGATATCAGATTCTTGATGTGCTACACACCATGTACCAGAAGATCTTGTAGAGCTCACAATCTACATCAACGAGAATGGTGAATCCCGTGCAGGAAAACTGAGGCACACACCAGCTCTGTATTCATTTATTACTTTGTTGATCAGTAGGACTGAGAAGAAAAGCTAGATTTTCTCAGACTCATTTTAGTTTCCTATCACTAGATTATGCTACTCTTTCAATTATTTTCTGCTTTTTGGGAATGCATTCCCCCACTACTTGAACTTTATGGGGCCATTTACATTTCATAAGGAACAGGAACGTGTGTCCCGTAGGGTAGAGAGGCAGAAAACCTGAGTCTTTTATACTCTTTCCTTGTTTTGATAGATGAGCTTATAGATGCATCAGTTCTTAAAGATTCATGAAAGTCTAGCTTTGTACTAAACAGGCATGTAGATACAGTGAGATTCAGCTGTAGAAATAATACAACCCTCAACTATTTTCATTGACATCTCTACTTAACATCAATAAATATCCTTTTTTAGGTTTCCCAGTCACAAAACATTTCTAAAGTTACACATGGCTATAAAATGTTTGTAGGATTAAGCTGTTAGGACTTCAGCTCTGAGGACTCTGATGGTTTAAGTCTGTTCCCAGTATATTGTTACGTTTAAATGTGTGTCATTAAAACATAGCTAAGTTAGTATAAAGGCTGCTGCTATGTTGCGGTACTTGTAATTGTAGTATTCATTTTCCCCTTGCCCATTTATGAAATCTTCAAACATTTCAACAGGACCATGAACCAGAACTAAATTATTTTTTATTAAAGTATAAAAATGTCTGGCCTTTTTCAGCTATGAAAAAGATCATGAGAATTGTTCTCACTTACCTTCCGAAAATGGGACCTCCCACAAGCTGGAGGACACCAAAGGTTGTCTGGAGGTAGCCAAACCCCACTGAATCCAAACCTAGGCTCTTTGCCAAGTACTAAAAAAAGGAAAAAGAACCCAACAGGTCAGGGGAAACAAAATACGCTATATTCCTGAATAAAGAGCTTAATGTCTGTGTGGAGAGGACTACAGTTCCAAACCAGTACTTCCTTCAGTTCCCCATATCTACAGATGAAATCACAGACACAGGCTGCTTAATAAAGAGCAAAAGTCTCCATCCCACACCATCTGCTAACGAAGATCAGGGGCATATGATCAAAGCCATCAATTTTGCACCAGGTAACAAATCTGAATCACCCTTTACCTTTGCAGTCGAAACCAGCCGAACATATTCAGCTACTGCTAAGGGTGGACGAGCTAAATTTTAAGTAGCCTTCCTGCCTCCAGACCCTGCACCCAGGGCAGCCCAAGCACCACCCAGGAGATGACTGCGGTAAGGTAGCTGTTGTCTAACTGAGCAAGCTGGAATCAATGTAAGCATAACATTGGCAAAATATTACATTTACTTATAAACTGGACAGTACACCCACAACCTGAGCTTGCAAAAACCCACAGATTCACACCTTCAAGAGCCACAATCCTTTGTTGTGTTTGGGGTTTTTTTATTTATAAGTTCTATGCCCAAGGGACAGCTATTTCTGATTCCTGGTTTTGTTTTGTGCCATCTGCAAAGAGTTGTTTAAAACTCTCAGCTAAGTTTAGCTCTCAGAAGGCATGGAGGTGCCCCAATCTTGCCTGCTTCCCTCATACATGCTCTGCACCCAGGTCCCCAAGCACCATGTAATTGATCAATGATCAACTACACTGATCTCCCATAAATAAACTCTCAACCTACAGGCTCAGCATGCCACGGGCTGGTTTAGTCGCAGAAGCGGGGAGCAGTTTGCTTCTGGAGGCACAAAAGCAGTGGAGAGATCTCCCAGAAGGCATGGGCTCACCAGAGACAAGGGTGGACAGGCATATAATAGATCCAGGAGCTCATAAGAGCAGGAATTTTTTTTCCTGGTGGAAAAGCTGTTAGTCAACAGCTAGCTGAATATAAGCCGTCCGTGTGCCCAGGTGGCCAAGAAGGCCAACAGCACCCTGGCTTGTATCAGAAATAGCATGGCCAGCAGGACTAGGAAAGCGATTGTCCCCTTGTACTCAGCACTGGTGAGGCTGCACCTCAAATACTGCATTCAGTTTTGGGCCCCTCATGACAAGACATTGAGATGCTGGAGTGTGTCCAAAGAAGAGCAATGAAGCTGGTGAAGGGTCTAGAGAACGAGTCGTACGAGGAGTGGCTGGGGGAACAGGGGTTTAGGCTGGAGAAAAGGAGGCTGAGGGGAGACCTTGTTGGTCTCTACAGCTACCTGAAAGGAGATTGTAGTGAAGTGGGGGTTGGTTTCTTTTCCCAAGTAAAATGAGATGGATAAGAGGAAGCAGCCTCAAGTTGCACGAGGGGAGGTTTAAGTTTGGGTATTAGGAAAAATTTTGCTACTGAAAGGGTTATCAAGCACTGGAACAGGTTGCCCACGTGGTTGAGTCACCAGCCCTGGAGGTATTTAAAAGCTGTGTAGATGTGTCACTTAGGCATATGGTTTAGCGGTGGAATTGGCAGAGTCAGGTTTATGATTGGACTCAGTGATCTTAAGGGTCTTTCCCAACCTAAATGTTTCATAGAAACCGGACAGAACAGTCTAGTACTTGCGAAGCAATGATTCCCACTCACAGCTGGTTTATTAAGCTCTCAGAAAAACCCACCTCTGATCTGACACCTCTGATTTCTGCTGCCTGCTTTTGGGTCACTCTCCCACTGCAAGCAAGAAAAACACAGACTACATCAGCTTCACTCAGGGCCATCAGGCCAGGAAAGTGCTCTAGGTGCTACTGTAGTACTAATAATAAACCAGCTTTTACTGCCTGGGCATACCCTGAACACAGTCACAGCTTGCCTGCTAGGTAGGAATACATCTTCCTCTCTCCTGCTAGAAACTCTCTTATGACTTTGCTGGTGAACTACATAGCCAGGCATTGAAGGCAAGGCATGCTACGAAGCAGGACAACCCATACTCACAGGCATGACTCCCATCTGCATGAAGAGGAAGGTCAGCTCAAGGGTCGCAATCAGGTAGGCAACAAGGATCGCTTGTCCCCTCTTGACCTCTCCCGAGTATCTGCTTTCCCCCAGGGTCTCAGTCTTCATTCCCAAGTCTTCTTCCTCACCTTCAGAGCTTGCTTTTGCATTCATAGCGCTCATGGAATGACTTGCTACAGGCTGACGGGCTGAAAAATGACACGAAGTTGCTTTCTAGCTGGGAACGCAGAGCATAGGTAAGGTGCAGAAGCTGTGTGTACGGTTCAAAGCTTACAATGTGAAAGGTGTTGAGTCAGCACAACAGGAATTTATTTTTTCTTTCTTTGTTTTTTCCTCCCCTTCGCTTACTTGCCAGGCAGGATCAAAGGTAACCATGCATCAAACCACATATCTCATTCTTCAGTCTTGTCCCAGGCAGGCTCATTGCTTCGTGGACCATCACAACAAAGACTAGCTTGAGAGTCCTAGCAAAGCGAAAGCGGACATCGTCTCAAACAAGAGCACGTGACAAACTCTTCAACTTTTTAACTGTTTCATTTCTGTCACTTTTATTGCCTCTGGTGGCTCAGAAGAGATGACTGTCTTAAATCTTCTTCAGAGACACTCTGATTTTATTTTTGGATGTTCCAAGGGAAGCTTACAGCAGAACAGCTATTTTCCTAGTCCTTATGCTCCTTGCAGTAGATTTACACAGATCCTGGAACAAGCATAGGTCTTACATGCAGTTAGAGTTGCTCTCATCAACACCTCTAGCTGAGCCATTTTCCCTCCTTCACCAGGTGCTGCAAATTTATAGAAAGACTGAGTTAGCAAATGTTCACATGTGACTCCACTCAGACTACAAATTGGCCAATGCCAAAACCATCTAAAAAAAAAAAAAGTATTAAATCCATAAAAATCATGAAGCTGACTGCAAACTGGGGAAATAAATAAACAAGACTCATTTGTCCTTTGGGGGTTTTGTTTGTTTGCTTGCTTATTTACTTAGGGTATTATTTGTTTGCCTGCTTGCTTGTTTGCTTGGGAGTTTATTTGTTTTCTTACTTGTTGAAGCCTGTAAGTCTGGTTGAGCGTTATCTATATTTTAACAAGAAAAAGAAAACAGAGATCCCAATGCCCTGATTTTGTAGGATCACGTGACTTTTGCTAGGAAGGGACCTCAGGAGACCTGATCTACCCTCCTGCTTGAACACCTCAGTTCAGCTGTAGCTTTTTCTAGACAAACTTTGAAAATCTCCAAGAAAAGAAATTTGCCCCCTCCCTGAGTATCTGGGAAAGACGTCCTTCCTAATGTCAAATCTGAATTTCTCAAGCTGTGGCTTGTGGCTGTTGTCCCTCATGGTACCAGCTGACACTACCACGTCTGGCTGCATCAGCTCTGGAGCCATCCTTCAAGTAGTTGCAGGTGGCTGTTAGATCACCCCAGCCTCTCTTTGCCAGGCTGAACAAGCCCAGTTCCCACCACCTCTGTGCAAGATGATGTACTCTAGACCCCTGACGTTCTTGGTAGTCCCGCCTTGGGTCCAATCTAGTTTGTCCACAACCCTCTTGAACTGGGAGGCCCAACACCGGGTCAGCCTCACCAGCACCAAACAAAGCTGAATAACAACTTCCCTGGATGTCCTGGCCATGCTCTTCCTCAGATGGCCCCATAAATCAGTCGATCTAGGGGCTAAACGCGGCAACATGAGCACTGATGGAAAAACAGCCGGTGTGATCGACACAAGGCATGTGCTCCTCCCCTGAGTAAGAAGCCTGTCTGAAAATGTCTGCAGGAGCCAAAGTATGATGCAGATTAACTCTGTTCCCAGCTACCCCCACTAAACATTGCATTTGCAGCCATCCAGCTAGGGGCCAGTTCATCTATACCTGTAACAATAATGCACCATTAATGACAGATGATCTAGGCTGGCATTGCGTTTTTATCTAAAGGCTCCTTTCTCATTCAGTTATAGAATACACCATGGGTAGTCACTGACAAGCCACCTTTAAAAAATAAAGATTAGTTAAAAACTGGGGAGGAATAGGTTATGACTAGGAAATTAATTTTCTTGGGTAAGATAAATAAACTTTAAATGGACAGATATTCCAGGGAGACTACAGTGAAAGCAAGCAAGGAGATAAACGTCTTGTGATGAAACTGCAGATTAGGCCATTAGCTATGCATTAAGCCCTGACACTTACTCTTAACATTTTTTTGAGTATTTATAGTGCCTTCCCTGGTATATCTTTCCTGAGGCCTATTTATGCGGTGATCTCTGGAAAAACAGAGTGGGAAATCTGAAAACATCTTTAAAAAAAATAAATTTATAAAGACTTACTGTTTATGTTACTTGGGCAGAAATCTTTTCTTAATTCACTGGAAATGGGAAACAAGGCCAGCATATGCACGGGGAGGGGAAATCCACCCACAGCAATACCAGCAGTTGAAAATGTTGGTTGAAAAAGAATATATTGTGGGTAAATCCCAAATCCTTCTCTGAGTTTGTATTTTTTCACAGAGGAAGCTTAATAAGATCTGTAGCAACACAAGACACCCTGGGTGGAATTAACCTGTCTGCAGAGGGTCAAAACAAGCTTTACATCCTCAAAAGAGCCTTGAAGAGGAATGGAAGTGCAGATGTGCTGCCCAGCGCTGAAGGGCATCTCTCAGGCCTCAAATCCTCTACGAATGTGAGCTGGCAGGTCGCTCCAGCTACACAAAAAACAGTGGGATGAACCAAATCCTGCTCCAGTGCAGGTCAATCACAGATCCTTGCCCTTGTGGGTATGCACCCATATTTATGGCAAGTGTGAGAGCTGGCTGGGAATGCTGGGGAGGGAATCACTGCCTCTTGGGTCCAGCAAACTTTCATTTCTCCTTGCAAAGAGAAACTGCATTTCTATGGGTGTGTGCTGGGGGGTGCCAGGAGGGATGTGAGATGAGTAGTTAGGAGCATACCTCATGTCTCTGCCCAAGAAGCAGTAAAGATAACCCTTCCCCTCCTTGCAAGAGCATCACGAGGCCACTGCATCAAAACCAGTGAGGCGTGCAGATATTCAGACAAGGAGGGACATAAAAACCCTTTACACAGACACAGCCCTCAGGAAGCTATCATCCTTGGGATCTTTCTTAAGTTCTATGATAAGAGAGAGGAAATGGAAGAAATATCTTGAAGCGATTCCCCAATAGGGGGAATGCTGAATTGTCATAATGAGGAAAACCATTCAACACCAGCTATGGTCGGCAGGAGCCATCAAATCCACAGGATCTGGCCCAATCCCTCTCTTTCCCCAATGCTGACACTGAGGGAACTGGTCTAATTTGTAGTCTGGTGAAAGATTTATACGGTTAAGCAAATAAGAGCATAGGCGGCCCGGTATTGCCAAAATTATGTCCCATGTTTGTTGACTGATTTATTCCTTTGTCTAATTGTGTTCACAAAAAAAAGCAACTCACTAATGAATGGAAAAAGACTCTACATGGCCAGCAAAAAAAAGCCACGTTTAGTTTACAAAATAGCACAGTCTTCAGGGATTTTCATAAAAACTACAGAGACAGTCCAAATCAGCAATGAAATCAGATTCCTGGTGGCTGCTGAACTCTTTTGGCTCTTTCTATGTGTGTATTAAATTGCAAAAAGCAATTATTTATAATTTGTTTTTATAAAAATGCTGGTGCGCTTATTCTGCCTGGCAAATTATTTTGTGAAATGGAAAAGGCTATTGTTCATTCTTTTGGTAAAGTCTTTGTTACTTAGCATATTAAACTGCAAATCACATTTTATCTGAAATATGGCTGGTTATTATTAACTTTTTAATGGTAAAGCCCCAAAGCTCCAGCTAATATTGAGGCCCTGTTTGGTGCCCTGCAAACATAAAAAGAGGCTGAGACTCAGATGAAGGAAAAGAATTAAATCCTCCTTGTCTTGCAGATGGGACCCTAACAGACAGAGAGGTTTAATGACTTCCCTGAAATCACAGAGGAAGTTTGTGGAAGAGACTGGAGTCAGACTTGATCATCCTTTGGACGCCAGTCCCATTGTTTAACCACAGAGCAATTTCTCCTCTCTAATATTCTGGAAAAATTAAACCAAAAGAGAACATTTCTGAATGCTGGAATTTGACAACAAAATATGCAGATGGAGCAGAGACTGTGTCAATTGTAAAAGAGTTTTGGAAAAATCCCATGGCCTGAATTCAGAAGAGTTACACCAAGAATAACATGACCAAACAGGAAGAAAAATCTCAGTTCTTTGTACCCATCCAGTCTCATCGACTCCAGCAGGACCTCACCTGGGCAGGAGCCTCTTGTGTCTGTTCACACCAAGTGGCACCTTGCTTATAATGATTTCAGCTCAGCCAGAGGACTCACCTCTGGAGTCATCTCCCAGGTGCTGCCATGGCCGTGGCCCACCTTTACCCCAAAATCTCTCTTGAGCAAACAGAAATCCCTCAAGTTTCAATGAGCTGCTGCCATGTGGTGGAGAAGGGCTGCTGGGCTGCCCAGAGAGCAGCCACCAACCTTCTCCTTCAAGCAAAGACATCAAAAGACAGCAAATGCTGCCAGCCTCTAGTGGTCTGCTGTGCTAGGATGTTGAAGGATCGGCAAAAAAAAATAGACTCTTCCTTTAGTGAAAGCCCTGGTCTCCTGGGTGAGCTCTATCCTGGGCAAGGGATGATCTCCCCCAGACTTGCCATTCTTCTTCCTAATGCTCAAGCCACACTTTTTTTAAGCAAGTGTGACCCGGCCATCTGTGTAGGAAACTGTGATTAAAGGAGTGGTTATACCATCGGCTGCTGAGCAGGGTCCAGGCAAAACTGCACATGCTAATAAGCGATGGCCCAGAAGCAATGGATACTTCTGCTGCCTCTGTGGTTGCATCTTCAGCTTACTGGCATGTTGGCGTGACTGACCTTCGGACAACTCACTGCTGGATAATGGATGAATCCTACGCTCCAAGATACACACAGTGTGTTGGAAGTCCAAGGTTTATAGCCAAAGAATATGCTAGATGTGACAAAAACGGATACACGCACACACGAATAAAGCCTCATACTTAGCCTGCAATATGCAGTATTTCATTCAGCTGGTATTATACAGCCACCTTTTGGAATCGCAGCAATGTCTGGAATGCAAAAGCTGTTTATTATTTAAATAACATTTAAGCCAT